GGGAAGGCACTTTGGAGACAGGTCACCTCTGGGAGCAGGGAGACGCAGGCGGATGGGACAGTAAAAGACACATGTGGTAACTTAGATCTAGTATTGTAATTCTTGGGTGGGGATGGTAGGTGTTCATTATGGAACAAATCAGTCAATAAAACAAGACTATGAATAGACCAAAGATGACAATGTCATGAACCAAGAATTGGGATTAACCTATTTTTGATTCCAATTAAAGAAAAGAGAGAATCATTAAGGCTTTCCCTAACAGCACGTTGGCACGGAAATGCTCGATTAGGGTTCTAGTTCCGGCTTTGCCTATATGAGAATGTGAATCAAAAATGCTTTTCCATTTACACAACAGCAAAGATACTGCCAACATCAATGTTCTCCATTTAAAAAAAAATTCCCATATGCTTACTGTAAGAAAATGACTTAATAACTTTTTACATAATTATTCTGGCCAAAATGGGTTTGTAAAAGTAAGAATAATCAAAAGGCTTGATTTTCATTAAAAATGTAAAATCTTAAGAGGATAAAACTTCAGGATGACTGGCTGGATATTTGGGAAGGAAATTAAATTAGCTCTTATCCCACACTCTAACAAAAGACAAGTTTCTCAATCTGAATGAAGTATGGGCTTTCATCATTATGTATTGATCCTGGTCCTTAGCTGTGACAAACACACCAAACTAACATGCAGCTTGACTTAATCACAGGGAAAACCAAGTGCAAGGTGTGTGGGAATTCTTCGAGCCATCTCTGCAACTTCTGTGTAAATCTAAAACTATTGTAAAAGAAAATGTTCTTTTAAAAAGCTGGAATGGGGTGATGGCTGCACACCCCACTCCATTTAATCATTTAATTGTACACATTTTAAAAAATGAGTGAATCTTACGTCATACAAATTATACCTCACTGAAGTTGTTTTAAAAGGTTCCAGGGGTCTGAAGATCTAATTTTAAAAATTATAAAGTTAAGAATCATGAGAGGATGGGAGGGTATAACTCAGTGATAGAGTGCCTGCTTAGCATGCACAAGGTCCTGGGTTCAATTCCCAGTATTACCGTTAAATTAAAAAAAAAAAGAAATCATGAGAGAGGAAATTTACTCCAGTGAAGAACCAGAAAAAGTATTGTGAACTGACAGACACGTTTAACTCAACCCTCTGCACCCAAGTCCAGAGAAGGGAAAAAATGAAATAAAACTTTAAAATACAGAAGTACAGAAGACTATTATTTAAGCCTTGAAGGAGGTGAGTGGAAGGCTTTACATAAATGCAAAGAAATAAAGAAGTCATAAAGAAACAGATGGAAAAATGTCAGTACATAAAAAATGAAAACATTGTAATCAAAGGTAAAAGACCAACAACAATGTGGGAAGAAATGTTAGCAACATATAAGACAAAGTGTTAATATTCATAATATGAAAAACTCGAATAAGAGAGAATAATCCAAAAGAAAACTAAGCCATGCTGCAATAAAGTGACTTAAGAATACAAACAGCAGATACAGATATGCTTAATCACAAAAAATTTAAAGTTAAAATGAAACTCTTCTAAGTGAAGTAAGCCAGAAAGAAAAATACCATATGAGATCACTCATATGTGGAATCTAAAAAATAAATAAATAAATAAATAAATACAAAACAGGAACAGACTCATAGACATAGAATACAAACTTGTGGTTGCCAAAGGGGGGGGGGGGTGGAAAGGGACAGACTGCGATTTTAAAATGTAGAATAGATAAACAAGATTATACTGTATAGCACAGGGAAATATATACAAGATCTTGTGGAAGCTTACAGTGAAAAAAAAAGTGACAATGAATATATGTATGTTCATGTATAACTGAAAAATTGTGCTCTACACTGGAATTTGACACAACATTGTAAGATGACTATAATTCAATAAAAAAAAGTTAAAAAAAAAAGAAACTCAATTTTCACTTACCAAATTGACAGAAATTAAAGACTGATAATATCCAGAGTAGGGAAAAGATGCTGGGAAATGTGCACCCTCATATACCATCAGAGAACAGAACCACCTCTAAAAACAAGGCAATTTGGCCATACCTAACAAAATTTTAAATGTGTAAGCTCATGTTGACCACCTGTAGAAATCTATCTTACACAAATACTAACGAGAGTGCATAAAGACATGTACAACAGTGATCACTGCAGTGTTATCTGTAATTGCAAAAAACTGGAAGCAATGAAAATGTCCACACGTAGAAGAAGGAATCATGGTGCAGTTGCACTATGTTATACCATACAGCTGCTAAAAGCAATCAGGTCAATGTCTGTGTGCTCACAGACTTCACAAGGTCAGTTTTTCAAAAAAAGCAAACTACAATATGTACATTTTGATGCCTTTTCTTGGTTAAAAAAAAAATCCCAACACATTCTTAAAAATAATATTATTTACCATGTGCAGGCATTATTCTAAATATTTTACAAATATTAACTTGTAACAACCCTATCAGGTAGGTACAATTATCATACCTACTTTAGAGATAGGGAAGCTGAGGCAGAGTCATGAAAGGCTGGTCTCACAGAAGCAACTGGTGGATTAAACCCTAGGCAGTGAGGCTCTGCTCTGCACTCTTGCATCCTCTCTGCTGTACTGTATGGAATCTGTGTCTCTGACTATACACATGGATGGAGTATAAGATGGAGGGTTTGGAGGTAGGGAGGGTAGTGCCACCCTACACCAATAAGAAGTACCTAATTTCAGAAAAGTTAAACTGGAGTGAAGAGGGAGTGTGTCTTAGAATGTATGAAGTCAATCACTGTATAAGAATAGAAAAAGCCTGGAAGGATATAAACCTGTCTGTTAAAAGTTATTAAGTGGCCCCAATGGGAAACTGAGGGAGAAGAGAGGGAACTTTTGTGTTTCGTTTTTCTATAGTATTTGCATTTTGTCATAATGCACTTGTATTACTTTTATATTAAGAACTTCTTTCAAACCACCACAAACAAAAGCCATTATTTAAAACAGTCAGAAATTCTATAAAACCTAATATGCAACAAAAGGCATCAGCCATATACATTTCTACAACAGAATGTTACTAGAAAAGGTGTGCAGAACCAGAATTTCACACATCGCTGATGGCTGTATAAATTGGTACAACTCCTTGGAAGGCAATTTCTCAATATCTATCACAGTTACAGATGTATGTATATGCCCTTTGACTCAGTAATACTCCTCTGAGAAATTTAGCCTATAGAAGTATATACAGCTGACTGTACTTCAATAAAAAACAGAAGTATATACATGCACAGATGTATATGCAAGGCATACACAGTTTTCTTTTTTAATCCTGCCATAGTAATATTAAACAGTAAATATATCCATCAATGAGAGACTGCTTACATAAACCAGGGATGGCCATACCACCAAAAGGCTATGGCGTGGTGAGGAAAGATCACCAAGACACACTGTAGAGTTAAAGGGCAAGGTACAGACAGAACGGTGTGATCAATTCGCTCACTTTCGTTTAAAAAAGGCAGGAAGTGTATTTTTCCTTGGTTTTATTTTCACAAAATTAAACAATGAAAGGAATCATTAGAAACTAAGAAGAAAATGTACAGAAGTGGAAGAGGGTGGGGGAGGATACCCAGAAGTGGGATGGCAAGATTTCCCTAAAAATCTGTGAGTTTTTTAAAAAAAATTATTGTAATTCTGACTATGGGCTTTTTAAAAAGGGTAATTAGGAAAGCTTTTCCCTTGCCAAAAAAAATACAAAAAAAAAAAAAATACCCAAAAAACAAACAAAAAAAGCCACACAACTGTATCACACCAACCAATGCAACAACATAAGTGAATCTCACAGACATCATGCTGAGTGATACAAAGCACACAGTACATAATTCCATTTAAGAACAGGCAAAACTAACCGATGTGATAGAAAGAAAGAGGAATCACCACCCTCTGGGGGTACTGACTGAGAAGAGGCATGAGGGAACCTGGGACACTGGAATGCTCTGTATCTTCATCTGGGTGCTGGTTACAAATCGGCATATATGTGCAAAACTTCACCAAGCCATACCATTAGTGTACTGAATGTACTCTGTGTGTGGAGAAATACATATCACATGTCAGTAACATTTTTTTTTAACAGTATCAAAGGTATTTTTAAGGAATATTTAAGGATGTGATTAAAAAGCCCACAATATCATGTTAAACCAAGAGGTAGAATTTTACACTCATAGAGAATATAATCGTACTTCTGAATTAGAATAGGTAGGAAGTGGAAAGGATTAAAGAAAATACACCAAGAAGGTAACTCAAGATGGCAGAATTTTCTTTATACTTCATTGTATTTTCAAAATTCTTTACAGGTATCAATCAGCCAAAATAATTATATATATATTTATTTTTTAATTCAGAAAAGAACCAATTAGATCTGGGGTTTGAGGACATAATTGAAAAAAAAAGATACACAAATTTACTTAACAGAGCCTTTAAACATTTAAAACATAATGTTAGTACAAACTTAAGTGAGTGACTGACTACAGAGGACCAAGTTAACATCAAAACAGTGTGCAAACATGGCTTGTTTATTTTACAAAGTACAAGATATCCAAAAAGGGGAGGAAAAACCAACCCTACAAATCCCTAAGAAGGCAGAGAAACCACTGTACTGGAGATTCAGAGACAGGAAACTAGAAAGTTGCATGTTTTCTCACTCCTAATACAAAAGTGCTGAAACTTGCTTAAAACTCTGAAGGTTCAGCTGTTGAGGTGTCTTTGCTCTCTGGGTTCTGATTCTAAAGATTTTAAGCGCCAAGAAAGGCAATAAAATTTACTAATCAATGTGTAGACCTACCCTAATGTGGAGAGGAGTAAGCAAATATTCAGTTGGTAATTGTTCCTTTAGTAAGTTTAGTGAGATTCGTGCCCCCAGCCCCGGTAAACAATCCACGGTTAGCTATATGAGGAGTATCTTGTCTTACTTCTCCACATTAGAATTCAAAGTCTAATTCTCACTTAGTACAATTAATTCTAGATTCTCTTCCGTTATTTCAAGGGAATAATTTTATGATATTAATTTCTAATGGCCAAAAGGAAGAAAAATCACAAAGCCACTCCACTGTCGGACACTTGGATGCAGTGTCAAACATGTCCACTCAGGCAGCTACGTTATCAGAGTGAAACCCACTCAAGCAGAAAAGTGCTTAAGAGCATAGAAAGGGGACCAACCAACTGTATCGGGTTATGGAAGAAAACTGAGACAAGAATGAGAATGTGGGATTGAGTTCAGCAAAGCAAACCTGGGTAGGTGAGGCGAGAATGGAAGGAAAAGCACAATGCCTGTGACTAAAAGCACCTCCCAAGAGCTTATTTCAAATTGCCTTTCTTAGGCATTTCTGTTGGGCAAACAAGGGAAAAGGAAATGAGGAATTTTCAAGTAATTAAGTATTGCATGAAAACTTAGTGTGCTCAAAATCATACGTCTGCCATTCAATCGGTGTTTATTTAGTTTCATATGATGAAACATTTATTACTACAGAGAAACTATGAAGCACGCCTGAAACAACCTATATGCTGGCTACCAAATTTCCAGGGATTCAGTGAGAAAGCATTATAAAAATAATGCCTTTTTAAAAGTTAAGTCCCAGAATCTAAAAAAATAATTCAAATGAACTTATTTACAAAACAGACTCACAGACACAGAAAACAAACTTATGTTTACCAAAGGGGAAAGGCAAGGGGGAGGGGATAAATTAGGAGTGAAGGATTAAGGATACACATTACTATATACAAAATAGATAAATAACAAGGACCTACTGTACAGCACAGGGAACTATCTTCAGTATCTCATAATAACCTATAATGGAAAGGAATCTGAAAAAATATGTATATAACTGAATTACTTCGCTGTACACCTGAAACTAACACAATACTGTAAATCAACTATACTTCAATTTTAAAAAAAGATTACATTGTAGGAAATGGGGGAAAAAAGTCCTTTCAGCTTCACCGTCATCACCTTTGTATGTTATTATGGCTAACATTTGTCAGGTTATCAAAAGCACCTAGAACTGACTAAGCTTTCTTGACGGAAAAATCAGATGAGAAGCCGAAGTTCACTGGGACTCTAATATTACTGGCACTGTCTCTCTTGAGTCGGCTTTTTAGGCTCTTGAAACCTTAAGTAAACAAAACCAACAGCTAATGAAAACTGACACACCCAGAAACTCTCAGTGAAACATTGACTTCATAGGTCACAACAGACTGTCCTATTCCTCTACAGGTGGCCTTGCCTGGAGCAAAAGGTTGGAAAGAAAAAAAAAATCCCCAACCTTCACACTTCATGGGGGAGAAAAATGAGGAGGAAAAAAAGAATAAGCAAGCTTCAAGGAGAGGTCAGGAACACAGGAACTCACATCTCAGTGGTACTCACACCACCTGAGTTTCCTAAGACTGCTTTGTTTTAGCACCTTAACTAGAAAAAAATTTCATCTACCTTTCTAGATGTCTTCAAACATCATATGGATAGGATAGAATGCTGGAGCTAGGAGCCTTCAAGAGGATCAGTATCTTCACCCTTTCCTCACCAGCGGTGCCCATCGTCAGCCCACTCCACTTCCTTCCCAATGGCCAAATCCAACCCACCCTGGAACCAGTGTCCAGGATCCTCAGCTAACCTTCATGGCAAGAAACCAATCTGCTCAAAGACACCTATGAAGGCAATTTCTGAGGGTGCTCTCAACATCATTCTAGCAGAGTGTTTCCAAGAAACAAAATCTCACTCCAAACATCTCTAAAGACAGGGTAGCTACCAGTAAATCCCATCTGGGAGATACTTTTGGTGAGAGGGTCCTTCTGCACTTTCAGCAACTCACACCATTTAGGAAGCTACCTACTGGTAGGATTAACAGTATGTGCAAAAAAGAAAATTGCTCTCACCTCTCTCTGCCTTTACTGTATAGCTCAATGTTAGTGCAGAATCAGTCCCTGTGATTTGCCAGGCTGCCCTCAATGTAAAAAGTTTAAAGACCTGCCACCTGCCACCACCCCAAAAACCCCCTTCCCAGTCTTGACCCAAGACAGCAGGCACCCTGAGCAATGCCATTTCCCTTGAAAAAAAAAAATAAGCAGGAAAATAAAAAGGGAGGGGGAAGGAGTTGTTTTCGTCTTGCAAAGACCAAATTTCAAATCACCCCCTGCCCACCCCCGATTCCTTTAGAAACCATTTCTTTTCAGTGCCTAGATTTACTTCTTTTTTTTTCTTTCATTTTTTTCTTTTTTGGGAGGGGAGAGATAATTACATTTACTTATTTATTTATTTTAGAACAGTTACTGGGGATTGAACCCAGGACCTCGTGCATGCTAAGCATGTGCTCTACCACTTAAGCTATACCCTCCCTGCTCTAGATCTACTTTTTTTTTTAATTTTATAATTGACTTTATTTGCAATATGGTAAGCATGCACTTTATTTTTTTAATTTTTTTCATTTTTTATTGAGTTATAGTCATTTTACAATGTATCAAATTCCAGTGTACAGCACAATCTTTCAGTTATACATAAACATACATATATTCATTGTCACTTTTTTTTTTTTGCTGTGAGCTACCATAAGATCTTGTATATATTTCCCTGTGCTATACAGTATGATCTTGTTTATCTATTCTACATTTTGAAATCCCAGTCTGTCCCTTCCCACCCCCTGCCCCCTTGGCAACCACAATTTTGTATTCTATGTCTTTGAGTCTGTTTCGTTTTGTTTGTTTGTTTAGATCTACTTCTTGAAAATGGACATCTTTTACCTTGTAGTAAAACCATTTCCACTTATCCCACCTTCCTAACATTTTGAGTAAAACTTGAGACCACAACTTTTGCAACATACAGAAGCGATAACTCTAATAAAGTTTCACAAAGCACTAACATGCAAATTTAGAGACAGAAATTTGGAGTTTAATTTAAAAATTGAATGTCTGCTGATTTTTCTAAAACACTTACCCACTCTTCGACATTGGGGGGCTGCTCATCATAAATACGTTCCTTGTCCCACAAAATATTCGACTTGTCATACCGGTCCATCTTTCTTCGGGTTTTCACAGCAAAGAAAATTATTAAAGCAAAAGCCACAATAACCATGAACCCCAGTACAATGGCAATGGCCTAAAAAGAGATTAAAGATATTAACATATTTAGCTTTTAATTGCTTTATTCCAACCCACACTCTACAAATACCTGAGGCCCTACTAAATTATCTGTGGTTTAACTGATATAAAGCTGATACAAATGGTTACATTTTAGAAATCTAAAACCTAGCCCACACCAGTTGGACTAAGGCTAGCAAAACACACACACACACACACACACACACACACACACACCCCTCACTTGACTCAGTCCTCAGAACATGCTTAAATTTAGTTATTATCATTATCCCTGTTAGAATTATAGAAAACTAATTCCAAAGCCTGAGCACCAAGGAAGCGGCCATATTTTTTATAAACAGATGAGAATGGCCGATAAATTAACTGAATCACTGGTATACTTCTAAAGGGCTTGGAAAATGTTAGTCTCAGAAGTAGCTTTAAATATCCAATCATGCTTATAATCTTGTTTATAACACATGCTTGGCAAATTTTTTTACAACTGAAGGTAAATTTTAGTCCACAGAGAATCTGCCTTACTTACCGTAAATTATGCAGACATGATCTAACCAAACTATAAATTAGAGAAAATGGGCTAATGATTCATTTAGTCTGGCAGGATCCTCTGTTGTCGGAGTCTTCTGTGTACTTACTAGAAAGGGGCCTATGACAAGGAAACCCTGCCCCCAGCAGTTTTCCTGGTGTCTGATAGCTAGGTTAAGTGGTACCTGGCCTGGAGGCACTTGGAGTTGAGGCAGGTACCAGGGCTCTGGCCTGAATGTCTGCTAATGGGTAATAGGAGGCTCTCTTTGCAGCTGTCTATGTAACAGTGGTATCATTTTTCAAAGAATCCAGGTTTTGGGCAGTCAGAGGATGAAGAGGGATGGCAGTACGGTAAGATATGGGTACCAACGCTCATCCCTGTTTACCACAGACACATCTGAATGTCAGTGACAAACACTCTGAAACCTACACTTGCAGGGAAAACATTTCAGACTTCAAAATAATGGTGGTTATGGGAGAAGGTCTCACCCCCAAAAAATGACTCACTCAAGTAAGAGAATGAAAATTCCTGGGTCAGTGTAAGGAGAAACAAAAAACAAGGAAAAAAAGATTAGTAACCTAGAAACATTTTCTTAATAAAATTAGGGTGACTCACAGTTACTGAAAGCAGGGTTCTCAACCTCACCTGTACATCCGAATCACCTGATAGATTTTAAAATACTGATTTACACTCTGAAAATTACAAACCACTTTTGAAAAAAATTAAAGACCTTCAAGTAAATGGAAAGACATCCTACATTCTGTGGATCAGAAGACTTGTTGCAAAGATGACAATTTTTCCTAAATTGATGTACGAATTCAATGTAATCCTTCAAAATCCTAGCTGGCTTTTTTGCAGATATTGACAAGCTGATTCTAAAATTTATATGAAAATGCAACAGGTCTAGAATCTAGTCAAAACAATCTTAAAAAGGAAGAACAAAGTTGGAGGATTCCCACTTCCAAATTTCAAAATTTACTACAAATCTATAGCAGTCAAAAGAGTGTGGTACTGACCTAATGACAGAAATACAAATTAATGGAAACAAACTGAGAGTCTAGAAATAAATCCTCACATTTATGGTCAATTCATTTTTTTAAATAGAGGTACTGGGGATTGAACCCAGGACCTCGTGCATGCGAAGCATGTGCTCTCCCACTGAGCTATACCCACCCTTCTCTGGTCAATTCATTTTTGACAAGGCTATGAAAATAACTTAATGGAGAAATAGTCTTTTCAACAAATAATACTAAGAAAGCAGGTTATCCACATGCAATGAATGTAGGACCCCCTTCCTTCCAAAATTAACTCAAAATGGATCATAGACCTAACCATAAAAGCTAAAATTATAAAACTCTCAGAAAAAAACTAGGAGTAAATCTCTGTAATCTTGAATTAGACAAAGTGTTTTTTTAGATATGACACCAAAAGCACAAGAAACAAAGAAAAATTAAATTCAATCTCATCAAAATTAAAAAATTTGGTGCAAAGAACATCATTCAGAAAGTGAAGGAAATGACAAAATAGAGAGAAAATATTTGCAAATCATATAAGGGACTTACATCCAGATATAGAAAAATTCTTACAACTCAATAATAAAAACCCAAGTAGCCCAACTAAAAAATGGGCAAAGAGTTGGAATGACCATTTTGCCAAAGAAGATATACTAATGGACAATAATCACAGGAAAATATCATTAGCTATCAGGGAAATGCAAATCAAACCAAAATGAGATAGCACTTCACACCCATTAGCATGGCTAGAATCAGACAAAAATAATGCTGGTGAAGATGTGGAGAAACTGGAATCCTCATACATTTCTGATAAATGTACAACAGTGCAACCTCTTTGGAGAACAGTCAGACAGTTCCTCAAAAGGTTAAACAAAGTCTCCATAAGATCCAGCAATTCTGCCCCTGGGTATATATTGAACTCCAGAGAAATTCAAACAAAGGTTTCACCAAAAACTTATACACAAATATTCAGGGTATTATTCATAACAGCCAATGTGGAAATAACCCAATGTCTATCAACTGATGAGTATATAAAATGTGGTATATCCACACAATGGAGTACTATTCAGCAATAAAAAGGAATGGAGTACTGGTACATACTACAACATGGATGAATCTCAAAAACATGAATGCTAAATGAAAGAAGCCAATCATTAAAAAAAAAACACACACATATTGTATGATTCCACTTATATGAAATATCCAGAATAGGCAAATTTACAGAATAATTAGCAGCTTCTCAGTCTGGGGATGGTTAGGAAAATGAGGAGTGATCGCTAGTGAGGATGTGGTTTCTTTTTGTGGTAGTGAAAATATTCTAAGATCAACTGTGGTGATGGCTGTGCACTAAAAACAACTGAACTATACTTTAAATGGATGAATTAAATGATGGGTTAATTATACTTTTATGGTGACACCCAGCCCTTCTCCCAGATTCTGATTTAAACAGAAGTGGGGCCTTGACATCGGTATTTTTAAAAATGTTTCCAAAGTGATTCTATTAAGCATCCCAAGATGAGAGCCTCTGACCTAAGGAAAGTGGGAGAGAAAAAAAGACAACAAAACTACCCATACCTCCTGGGGATCCACCACACAGAAGTGATATAAATACTGATCCACGTAGAGTCCCGTAGCTGCAGGTGTATAAAACTGATTGCAGAGGGCATATATTTGTGAACCGTACAGAGACCCAGATGACTGGGCGGTTGGGTTGACTCCCATTATGTAGACAATTGTGGCAATAAACACCATAATGCCCAGGACAGCACTCACTATTATCACAGTCAAATAATATCTTCTTGTTCTGGATATTTCAGATCTTATAACGCTGGTAACAAATATCACCAATGCAGCAATGAAACAAAAGGCAGCCATGGCCAGTAGGAATCCCTTTGCTGCTCTTGGATCTGTATAGCCCGCTCCATAGCCATAACCATAGCCGTAACCATAGCCATAGCCGCTTCCATAGCCACCAAAGCTACTTCCTCCAAAAGGGTAGCCAACACTACCTCCTAGCAAACCAGTTCCATAGGTTCTGTCCCAGGCAAGTGTGGAGGCAACACAGGCAAAAATGGCAATGCACATCACAATAATGAGCATAGACAGAATGCGAATCACTCCTGGCGGAGAGGTCCATTTGTAGAAGTGGAGAATTTCGTCTTCCGGGTAGAAAGAATACGCCGGCTGAGACAGCATTGGTCGAACGTGCATCTCTCCACCATATACGTCATTGCTTGGTGCATAATGATTAGGTTTGCTGAAATGCACATGAAAACAACTTTAAGTTAGCACTTTTTTGGTGGTGAGCAGAAAGAACATATATAGTACTTGGAACAACTGTAACAAACCACTGGAAAATAAAACTATTAATGGTACTGCCCCACTGCACTGGGGCAACCTGTGTCCTCCTCCCCCAGATTCAAATGTCAAAATCCTAGCCCCTAGCGTGATGGTGTTAGGAGGTGAGGCCTTTGGGAAGTAATTAGGTCCTAAGGGTGGAGCCCCCTGAGTGGGCCTAGTGCCCTTATAAAAGAGGCCCCAGAGAGCTCTCTCACCCCTTCCATCATGTGAGGACACAAGGAGTTGGCCGTCTGCAACCCAGAAGGGGGCTTCCGGCCTCCACCAGAACCTGAGCACCCTGATCTCAGACTTACAGCCACTAGAGCAGTGAAAAGTAAATTTCTGTTGGTTATAAGCCACCCAGTCTCCGGTACTTTATTACAGTAGCCTGAACTGGCTCAGACACCCACTGAACAGTAAAGGTATCTGAGCCTCATGCATCAGAATCACCTGGAGGGTTTGTTAAAACCTAGATTGTTGGGCACCCCCAGAGTGGCTGAGCCTGTAGGTCTGGGGTAGGACAAGTTTTTAGATGCCACTGATGCTGCAGCTGGGGAACCATGCACTGAGAATGACTGCTTAGTTTCCATGGAGCAGAGGTTCTCAAAGTTTGCTGCATACTAGAATCAGCTGGGGAGTGTGTAAAATCCCCAGATGCAGCACTCCATACCAGGTAAATCATAATCCCTGGGATGGGACCCAGGCAGTTTAGAACAATGGTGTCAACCCTTCTGCCTTTGCGACCTGAGGCGATTCCTTCAGACATGACACCTGCAGTGGCCTACACAGAGTCAGGTGCAATTCCTGGCAGCCTCACTCTCTTACCTAAGAAAGCAATTTGTTCAGCTATTCATTTGGCGACTATTTACTGGAGCTGCCCGGCTGACGTGTGTGGGGCACTGTGCTAGGCACCAGGCATACAATGAACGGGACAGTCTCAGGCCAGGCCCCTCACAGAGTTAATCTGTCAGTGCAGTAAGACATTAAACAAATCACTACATGAACCATAGTCAGTTATGGCCGGAGCTACAAAGTAGATCAAATATTAATGAGAGCTCATCAGGAAAATGCCTAATTTGATCTTGAATCTCCTTGAGAAAAATACCTTGCAAACCCCAGTAATTTAATTATACACACACAGCTTATAAATGACACACTGATGTGTGGACACACTGAATCTAAACACTGTGGGCCCTGAGGAGGTAAAATTCAATTCCTAAACTAAGCCTCTTTTGTTTTCGACATTATTTCCGGAGAACACCTTCCTTACTCTAAAGGAGACATCTTACTACTGGGTGTCGCTAACCACAGGAATTAGGAGAATTATCTGAGTATATGAGAATGAAAAGGAAATGGAGAAACTGGAGAGAACACTGAAAAATGTCAAGTAAGGAAATTCACGAACACATTCTACTTAGATATTTGGGGTGTCTCCATTTGGGGCTGTCATGAATAGCACAGCTCTGACAACCTCCAACATACATCCGGGTACACACAGGCATTATTTTTCTAGGGTATACATCCAGGAGTAGAAGTTCTCAATTTTTTTTTTTTAATCTTCAGCTCTACTAGACAATGTCAAACTGTTTTCCACAATGACGATATCACTTAAACTCCCATTGACAGTGTAATGTTCACAGACACATTGCTTGTGATAACTCCAAACTGGAAACAGCCCAAATGCCTGCCTACAGTGCAGTGGGGAACTGTGATACAGCCTGATGATGCAATGCTACAGAGCTGTGCTGTCTGATACAGCAGCCACTAGCCACACGTATCAACTGAGCACTGGAAATGTGGCTACTCCAAACTAAGATGCACTGTCAAGTGTAAAATAACAAAGTGGTCATAGTATGAAAAAAAAATGTATCACCAGCAAGATAGAACCCTAATATTAACCATGTGCTCTGGGTGATAATGATGTGTGTCAATGTAGGTTCATCAGCTGTAACCAGTGCACCACTCTGGTGGGAGATATTGTTAAAGGGGGAGGCTATGCAGGAGAAGGGGCAGGTGTACACAGGAAATTTCTATATCTTCCTCTCAATTTTGCTGTGATCCTAGAAATACTCTAAAAAAAAGGCCATATTTAAAAAAGAATATAAACTAATCATATGAATCTGTGTTTTTATCAATCACATGTTTAAAAGATATTATTTTGGATATACTGGGTTAAGTGAAATATTAAAGTTAATTTCTTCTCTTATGTGGTTACAAGAAAACATGAAACTACATACATGGCTTGAGTTATATTTGTTTAGCACTGCTCTGAAGCAAAAAATGAACTACAAATGCACGCAGACATCTTATAATCAAAGCTGAAAGAAGCAAGGCAGAAAAGAATACACACAGTATATTATATTCATAAAAAGTTTAAAAATAAGAAAAACTAAACCATATTGTTTAGGATGTATAAAGTGACGAAATAATAGAGAAAAGCAACGTCCGTATGTCAGAACAAAGATGTCCATGGAAAGAGGGGGACACAGGGAAAGACTCTGCAGTGTTCTGTCTCTTGACTTAGGTGGTGATTTTACTTTGTCTTTATTCATCACCTCATATGCATGTTCTCAGCCCTTTTCTACATGTATATTTAATCATATACAAAATAAGTGTACAAAACTAAGTATGAGGTTAATGGAACACTACTCTGTTACTACTATATCTGCCAGCATGTTTTAAGGATCTCACTTTCATAAACAACCATGTCCCAAGTTCAGGAATTAGTCAGGAGGCTATGTAACAGGAACACACTCCTTACTACGGTTATCAGAGTAAAAGCTACAAATTATTTAAAGAAGGAAATCCCTTTCAATATTTGATAGCAAATTTAAAATTTAAGAATTCATTGTTAAATCTCCAAATGACTAAGGACACCAAGAACCTTCAACTTTGCTTGTTGTTTTAACATAATTAAGGAATTTACAATGTGAAAAACATTACGCTACATGAAAGAAGTCAGTCACAAAAGACCAAATGTTGTATGATTCCATTTATCTGAAATGTCCAGAACAGGCAAATCTAGAAACAGAAAGTGGATTGGTGGGTGCCTAGTACTGGGGAAATGAGGAGTGACTGCCAATGGTTAGTGTTTCATTGGGGAGGAGATGATGAAAATGTTCTAAACTGACTGTGGTGACAGCTGCACGACTGTGAATATACTAAAACCACTGAGATGTCTATTCTAAATGGGTGCTTTGTATGGTGTAGGAATTTTATCTCAATAAAGGTGCTCTTTTAAAAACTGACAATCTTTTGCCACCAGTCATCTAAATAAGGCATTAATATGGAAGCTTCACACCCTTTGTGAGAATCAAAAAGGAATAAATATACACACAAATATAAGCCTAGACTATGTTGAAGCAAACATTAAAAACAAGTGATGGCAGCTCCCACTGCAGGAAAAACTGTCATCCTGGAAGTTAAGGGTAGGAGGGAAACTCACCCTTCACTGTATACAGTTGGTTCAATTTGATTTTGCAAATGCACATAGTATTTTATTTTTAAAAACAAACATAAAATAGATGGAAGTTTCAACTACACATATTTTTACATGTAATAGAGTTGTTAAAAAAAAAAAAAGAATAACATGTTTACTTACAATTCATCAGGTCTGTAAGGAGGTGGACTTTCAAGAGGCCTGGATGACATGGCTGGTGTCAGTGGTCACCTGATCTTCAGGATGAGCGATGCCCGGTAGCTCCCAAGATGAGAAAGTCTAAGCAACGTAAGCAGGGTAATGGCATTACTACTGAGCTCAGAGCTTCCTTGCATCACTAAGAAAACCAATGATACCAATCTCAAGTAGCTTTCACTCCATGGTTATTTCCCTTGTTCTTCTCACCGTCATTTTTACACGATGGACCATTAATTCTCTGAGCATAAGAAATCACCGAGCGAAGGACTCATCCGGCCTGGTAGTTCTCAGAGCACCGAGCACTGTGCTCTGCACATCCCCAGCACAGTAGATTCTTTAAACTTGAAATTCTAAGTTGTAGTCATGAAAATTTCACAAAGATTTACAGCACAAGTAAAAATGGTGTTTTTAAAAATACTCACTTCAAAGAACACAAAGGATGATGTATAAAAGATAAAATTCCTTAAAACATATTTATTCTGCCTCATATTACTTTCAAAAGTTCATATAAAATGAGAATGCACACGAAACTGCGTACACAGCTGTGTCCAGCACATGCCAGCCCCTCATTGTTAACTAAATCATAATCTGGTGAAAAACTAAGCATTTATCATTTTACTTATGAACGATAAGGGTTGTGGACATTTTCCCCTTATCGCCCAGTCTTCAAAATTGAGCCAAATTTTCACAAAAAAAAGGAAAATCATCAAACACATATTGTATTAAAGAGTCCTCTTCACTAAGAGAAAAGGCAGATTGATTTTGTTCTAAAATTCCTCAACGCAAGAATCCCCAAACATCTGAGAGGTAATTTCACTCAATCAACAAGCATCGACACTGAACCATGGAGCCCATGGAAGTTAAGTATGAGACAAAGTTCTCCTGAAGGTCATGCACAAAGGAAACAGCAAGTACAACAGGCATTATTTAAGACCAAACTACATGAGAATGTGCAGCTTGGAGATAACAGGAGACTTAACAAGGAGCTGAAAACTTGAGGGTGGATGAACGGATGGACACAAGCAAGATCTATAATCTGAGTATATTAAAGTGTTCAATATTTTTCCCTTTTTAAATAACGTCTGAGCAATCATATATTACTATGTTATGTTAGGAACAGTAAATAAATTCAAACTCTTTAAACTTTGTTCTTTAAAATCAATAGCAACTACCCTTCTCATCCTTAAGAACAGTCAATTACAAATTTCTCAGAATAGAGCTGCAAGTCAGGCTCCCCAGCCTGCAGGTTGGGCACTGGGAAGAGGAGCCCCCAGAGCATTAGGCTTTGAAGGTCAGCGGGACTTAATTGCAGGAGCTCCACAGGACTGGGGGAAACAGAGACCTCACTCTTAAAAGATGCTCACAAATTCTCCCACTCACAGGGACCAAGGGCAAAAGTAGTAACTTCATAGGAGTCTGGGCCAGACCATCCTGAAGGGTCTCCTGGGGAGGCAGGGGAAACAGGGCAGGGGCATTGTGGCTCACCCTGGGGACATAAAAACTGGCAGCAGACATACTGGGGAGTATTCATCTGCATGAACTCTTCTGGAGGCTGACACTTACTTGGGTCATTAGCACCAAGACCTGGCCCCACCTAATAGCCTGTAGGCCCCACTACGGGGATGTCTTAGGCCAAACAACTAACTGGGCAGGAATACATCCCCATCCATCAGGAAACAGCCTGTCTAAAGACTTCTTGAGCCCACAGCTGCCCCTAGACAGGCTCCTAGACACAGCTCTGCCCACCAGAGAGCAAGGACCCAGCTCCACACACCAATGGACAGGCACCAGAAGCAAGAAAACTAAGATCTCGCAGCCTGTGGGACTGAATCTGCAAATGCAGGCCAGATCCTACCCTGGGACCAGCTGGCCCTGGCCCTTGGGTGACGAGAGGGGAGTGCACTGCTGGGACACATAGGGAGTCTAAAACGAGAGCCACTTCTCCAAAGTTGAGAAAGGTAACTAACCTACCACATACATAAAAATACAAATACAAATTTAGACAAAATGAGGTGGCAAAGGAGTATGTTCCAGACAGAAGAAAAAGGTAAAACCCCAGAAGAACAACTAAGTGAAGAGGAGATAGGCAATCTACCTGAGACAGAGTTCAGAGTAATGATTGTAAAGATGATCAGAGAACTCTAGAGAAGAATGGATGCACAGAGTGAGAAGTTAGACGTTTTTAACAAAGAGTTAGAAAATATATAGAACAACCAAACAGAGCTGAAGAAAACAACTGAAATGAAAAACACACTAGAAGGAATCAATAGTAGAAAAAGTGAGGCAAAAGAACGGATCAGTGAGCTGGAAGACAGTAAAGGACATCACTGCAGCAGAACAGAAGAAAAAAGAATGAAAAGAAATGAGGACAGTTTAAGACAACACCAAGTGTACTAACATTTGCATTACAGAGGTACCAAAAGGAGGAGAGAGAGAGAAAGAGTATGAGAAAGTGTGTGAAGAGATAGTAGCTAAAAACTTCCCTAACCTGAGGAGGGAAACAGTCACCCAAGTACAGGAAGCGCAGAGGCCCATACAGGATTAATCCAACAAGGAACACACCAAGACACATTGTAATCAAAATGACAAAAATTAAAGAGAAAGAAAAATATGAAAAGCAACAAGGGAAAAGCAATAAACAACATACAAGAGAACTCCCGTAATGTATCAGCTTATTTTCAGAGAAATTCTGCAGGCCAGCTGGGAGTGGCATGATCTATCTAGAACGATAAAAGGGAAAAACCTACAACCAAGAATACTCTACCCAGCAAGGCTCACATTCAGATCTGATGGAGAAATGAAAAGCTTTACAGACAAATTTCTCAGAATAAAATATTGCCCAAATGTATGTTAGGTAAAAACTCAAAGATGGAAATGTATTAAATATTAGTAACACCAACACAATTAGCATAATTTTCCAAACACAGTGAGGGAAGACAACTTTCTCCACATTCTTTTATTTCTAAAAACTGCTTTATTGAAGTATAACATACAGAAGATTACACAAATCAAATGTGTATACAGCTCTATAACTGGCACCCAAACACACACACAGATGAGTTATTTAGGCCAAAATGTTATGGTGCTATGATAGAGTAAAAGTCCAGATTAATTGTCATCTTTATTGATGCTCAATAAAAGAACATTAATAAAAACTGAATTGATAAAAAAACAAGGACCTACTGTACAGCACAGAGAACTATATTCAGTATCTTATAATAGCCTATAAGAATCTGAAAAAGAATATATATATAAAAATATAACTGAATCACTTTGCTGTACACCTGAAACCAACACAACATTGTAAATAACCTATACTTCAAAAAATTAATTAATTAAAAAAACTGAATTTAAACCCTAATAAATGCAGGACCCTATTTCTGAAGCTGAATGTCAAATACTGACACACTGACCTTAGAGGAATCTTATTCCTTCTATAGCTAGGTCTCACTCATTCAAGACTATGCCAAAAAATTCCAGGCTCACTGGGAGTTTTTGAAAATTCTAAATTAATCCAGACTCAGGCTGAAGTTTAAGTTTTGTCAAAAATCCAGATAACAAAATCCCTTTCCAAACTTCTATTTTCTGGATTCAGTTTAGTTGTCATGTCTCCTCTAAGAGCTGCGATTTTAAATTGTGAAGCAAATAAATTTAGGAAATTCATTAAGAACAAGTCATGCCATATCAACTTCATATCTCTTTTTGAGAAGGTCATCAGACTGGCAGATGAAGGGAATGCAGAGAGAATCCTGAGAGTGTCGGGCACATCCTTGTGCACAGAGGGCAGGTAGGCAGATTCCAATGGGGCTGAATAATGGAATCTAATTAGGATGAATGAATGAATGGACCATTTATGCCCACCTGGAGGGAGGTTTCTAGTGGTGACCGCAGATAACACAGGCAGGCTTGTCCAGATTTGCAGCTGACAAAACACTGGAAAGGAAACTAACCCACTGACTACGAGTACGTCAACATTGATCAAGGTCTCTGTAAGGCTAGAATGATGGGCTAAAACAAACCTAGTCGTTTTAAAAGCTCACATTCTGAGAAGACAAATTCCTCTTCTCTTTTGAGATCATCGCTACCCTCCTGTGTCAGAGGGGGATAAGCCTGATCTTTGGGCTGCGATAATCAAGTATGATAACGTATTGAGAAAATGAGCAAAAAACATTCACAGCAAGGTGGTTATTCTGAAGGTGAGAAATTTCAGTGTTCATGCATTTAAGTACCTTGTATCCGTTTTCAAATATCAGTGGCAGGAATAAATCATTTCAAATATGTAAAACTCAATTTTTAAAAATTCATAGTATAAATACTAGATAAGGGAAATCTGGCTTAATAACTGTTCGTTTTTAAAAGTACATTTCCTTGGACAGAATTTCAACAAAATCTAACAAGCTATCGCAAACCCTGGCAGTATTTACAGAGATAGTGCTTAGATCATGGAATGATACAGTTATTAAAAAGTAACCCCTGCATAACCTTGAAATTTGAACTAGGTACCTCTCCAGGAGGGAGACTAAAATTGTTAAAAGACCTAGAAAAACCCCTTTTGCAGACAAATGACTGGAAAAACAGGAAATGTTTGGCTTGGGGAACTCAACGTTACAAGGACCATTAAGGCAGCCTTCACACTGAAGAGTTGTCTTTGTAGTCCTAGAAATGGTTCTTTGAAAAAAAACACAAACACTCCACAGGGTCACATTTCATCTCAATGTTAGGAAGTCTCTCCCTTTAGACTCTACACACCCTCCCCAAAATAACAAATAACAATTTGATCTCATGCCATTTGTGCAAAGCTTAACTTGTTTGATATTTGGGGGCTGGGGGTGGGGGAATGGACTGGACTGCAGGACTTCTAAGGTCTCCTTCAAGGCAGCCTGTGATTGTGCTTTAAGGCCACAGCACAAGGAGAGAGAGGACCACTGCCCAATGTCCAGCACAAAAACATTAACAATATCTGGTCAATATGTTGAGAGAAGAGAAAAATAAAAAAGGAGTGAAAAGGCCACGGGGTCTAGCTTAAAGGGCTCCCAGGTCACCTTCACAGAACCTATGTCATAAGAATGATAGGGACTTCAGTCAAACAGCTGAATCAGAATCAGGGCCAAAAGGGAAGCACAGATCCTTACTGAGTATGTTAAGCTGAAAGCCAGCTAATAGTTAAAAAAAACGAAAAAGAAATATTTACTGGCCAAAAGTTATCTTAATAGAAAACTAACCTAACATGGAAAAGATAAGCCTGAAAATGCTATGCTTCAAAATTATTCTTTAAAGCAAACTGTCAATAAGTAAATAAGGAAGTAAATAAATAAATAAATAAATGTTATTATGTTAAAGGGCAATCTGTTCCTTTCTGATCATATGCCTTTAATTAATTTGCCTAATTTCAACATTTTAGGCAATTTACTAATGATGTGCCTATAATCTAAATAGAATCATTTAATAACCACCACCATTCCTGGGCTCTCAGATGTCTGACATTCTTTACTAGGAGAGTTTCCCCTAACAAACTAATAGCCCCAGATAACACGCATCTTATCAGAGTCAAACCCCACTACTTTCACGGACCCTAAACCTCTTACCTCACCTACAACCAATCAGAGCCTTGTGCACAAGATGATCAGACACCTTGTGACCCGACCTTATAAACTTATAAAACACCCCAACAACCAGCCCTCAGGGCTCATGCAGGCACCACTCGTCTGTGTGGCCCGCTGTTGTCTGTGACAGCGTACCCTGGTAAACTCCTTTCTATTCCCATACTCTGTCTCTAGTAAATTCTTTTACCAACCTGCATGTCACCATGCCACCGACCGGCCGCCCCATTGTGCCCACAACAAGACACTGCACTTTTAATAAGCTCTCCAGATGATTTTTAAGCACACCATGTATTTTGAGAAGCATTGCCTAGAATAAAAGCATCAGTCCAGGGAGGGCCTTGATCTTGAGGGTTTACTGTTTAGAAGGCCCAGAACTTTACATGGCAGGCATCTCCCGTTCTGGTTTCAGCTCAAATGTCACCTCCTCAGAGATGCCCTCACTGTCACTCACTCCAACCACCAAATCTATTTTCAGAGCAAACCTCCCCCAACTAAATTATTATTTCTTTCTTTCTGTTTTTCAACTGCTACATCTCCACTCCAACAGGAATACCAGCTTGCCAAGTGCATAGATTTCTGTCTTGATCATCACTTATTCCCAACCCCTAGAACTAATCCCTGGTACAAAGCAATGCTCAATCAGTATTTGATTTATAAAACCAACAGCCCATATTAGAGTTGGGATTTCAAACCAATAGTGAATGCCTTGAAGTTCTTCACATAACTAACACCCAGGAAAAACAACCCTTCAACTTAAGTTCAACAGAAGTGGTTAAGTGCTTACAGCCTAAATGAAAGAGAAGAGAGTCAAACTCACATCCATATGGGCATCACCTGGGAGCTTGTTAGAAAAGCAGACTCTTAGGCCCCACCTCTGACTATGAATCAGAATCTGTATTTGAATAAGATCCCCAGGTGACTCATTCCACATTCAAGACTGGAAAGCACAAAGTTACAGAACAGCTGCAAGTCTGGAGGCTAAAAAAAAAAGTACAACAAAAATTCACATGGTCTTTTTACTACAGTATTTCCATAAATAGTAACATGGATGAAAAAAGCCCACTAAATAGTCTAATCAAGTAAGTCTTGAAATGCAACTGAAGAAAACTTCCCTCTGGAAGGTTCCTGGGAAGATGAGACATTATATCAGTTAATTTATATGGTTGAAAAAGTAACCTATCATTTTGAAAGAACAGCAGCAATTCCAACATTACCTTTAGAAGAAAACGGGAGAATTTTACCTTTACATCAAGCAAGATGGGGTACACTTACATGAGGCCATCGGGACTAGTCAAAGGTAGAGAATTCCAGAAAATCTCCCCCAAGCTGGTTTTTGTGCTGAATTATCAAGGACCTGCTTTTCTAATATACCTTCCCTGATGAACTAGTTTTCAAGCCAGCCCATTTGTAACATGTTTCCCCTTCCTGGTGTTTATTCACTTTTAAAATGGAGTTCTGCAACACAACATTGTAAACCGACTATACTTCAACTTTTTAAAATGGATCTCTAATAAGATCTAGCTTTTGGAGGTGCTGACGTGATTAAATGGTATATAGTACAAAAGGCTTCTAGCGCGGTGCCTTACACATAGGAAGCAATGCTCATCATCTCCCTGAATTGCCTGGGAAGTTGTGGAAACCTCGCTCTCTTCCTCTCCATCGCCCAGCAAAGGAAGCTCCTAATAAGTAAGTAAACGCAAAACTACAAAAACCAGAAGTGTTGCTTTGTCTGGGGAGATATTACTGTGACGTCACCATTTAAAATGCCTATTTAAAAACACCTGGAAGAGAAAGTAAAGATTCAACATGTATAGTGCAAAAGAAACACTGTTACACATGGGAATGCTTAGTTTGAGAAATCTGTCTCTGTCTAGAAAGAACTAGTTTCAATCACAAAAAGCACACGTGCCTTAATAGGAAGGGTTTCTCTTTTCCAAGGATTTCAGTAATACACCTGTTGTGCGTGAGGGCCACACACTAACCTGGAAGGCTGCCTCCTCCCAGCCCTTGGTCATTTCCCAGGTGGGCAGCCCGGCCAGCCACAAGGCCGACCCAAGGATGCCGTGACTTCTCTTCCGGCTCAGCCGCTTCACCTGGGACACGAGGGGCTCGGAGCTGGTCCCGCAGCCCTAAAGTGCTATGGCCATTTTGGCCCCTTATCCCACCTGGCCCCGCACACTTCCTCCCACGCAGGCAACAGGTGCGCTGCGCGCTGGGCC